GAGTAGCAAAGACTATATATATAGATGTATAAAATAACAGTGGTAGATATTACTATTATAGTATGACATTATTTTAATATAAATTAATTACATTTATAATAATATATTAATTGATGATAAAAAAATTTGTCCAATAAAATATATGGTCCAATGTTTTTTTATTATTAATACCATACAAATATTAAGAAATCAAGCTTTAATTTCATGCCAAACAATAGTATTATTTTTTAAACCTTAATTTACAAATAAAAAGTTGAGAAAAATATACTATTTGATCGCTCTCGCAAGTGTACGAGATCACAGTAATAAATTATTCGAAGTATTTTAGGTGTCGAACCCACATGAAAGTTACACTTTTACCAATTTAAATAATTAATAGTTCGAGAAAATAGATAAAATGAATAATTTTGGTAAAAATATAAGGAATAAAAATAAATTAAGAAAATAATGATGATACAAATGCAATCACTTGAAGCGTTGAAATTTAGGATTCACCCTATAGGTTGCTGGTTTCTACCCTTTGAGTTGACTCGGAACAATTATAGTGACAACTATTCCTAAAGTGTCCTAATATTCTCCCGAATTATTAGTCCCTTTTTAATTAGTGTTGAATTCGTTCTCACGATACCCAAGCAACTAATTAAACTGTGAAGCTATAATTTAAGTCACCATAAATTTTTAGAACTATCCCTAGCCTAGTTATTTATGTTTATTTCTCTAAATCTAAGTTCTCTCTTCACCTCCTAGTCCATCAAGATTACCCATAGACTTGATTAAATGGTAGCCAGTCATTAAATCAATATGAAGAATAAGAGAAATAAATACAATTAAAAAAGCAAAAATATTCATAAATATAAATGCAAAGAGTCAAAACAAAGAAAATAGAAAACTAGCTCTTCAATTGGGGTACATCCTTATCCCAACTGAGTAATTTAGAACACATAATAAAATCAAATAAAATCATTCTAGAATCCCCAATCATGAAAAATGATCACAGACAAAATTAAGGAGTAGAAAAGAAATAATTATAATTTGTGAAACCTCTCAATGATCTCGCTTTCAGTCTTCAAAATGCTTCTACGAGCTCCAAATATCTCAGAGAGAATTCTTGAGGTACTTAGATAAGTAATTGAATGCCTTCCCTCTTGATAGAGGGAGTATTTATAGTTAAAGTGGAAGCTCCTTCTTTTGTTCCTTGTTGATGTGGAATTTTGATATATATATATATATATATTTCTCTTTTTCTTTTTTCCTTCTATTTGGTTTATTCTTTTTCTCTGTAAAATATAAAGATAAAAAGATATAAATAAAAAGATATGAGTGGATTTTGTATTAAAATTTCTTTTTATTTTATAATTAAGTAATGAGGAAAAAATATATAAATATTAATTAAATAAATATAAAATCTTAATAAATATAATCAAATTCAAACTAAAATTTATACCCATTTAATTATAAAATATGCATTTATCACTATTCTCTCAAAATATATGAGAGAAAAAGACATTTTTCTCTTGAAAATATTTGAGAGAAATCTTCTCTCAAATAATGTGGAGAGAAACTTACAACTTACTTTCTCTCAAAATTTCTGCCTTTGGGCCAAAAGGTACTTTTCAGAGAAATAATATAATGTTACCATTTGAGCTAAAGTATTTCTCATTATTTATTAAAAATCATGTATGACACATAATTTAAATCCACAGCATATAATGTTTAAAAGTTAATAATTAAAGTATTGTAAATTTATATTCCACCATGATTAACAATGAGTTATTAGCGCAATGTATACACTAATACAAATGCTGAAAATAAGGAATTAAAAACATGTTCAACCTCAGTAATATTCTTTTAGCACTTTAATTCTAAATTACATGAGGCAGGATATATAAAACAACATTTATAAAAAAACATATTTTAGGGCTTGAACCATGCAAGGAATTTGACCAATTGCTAGATATTGATGTAAAAATAATAAGGGGCTTTTGTAAATGTAGCCCATGTTATAGGACCAAACCAAATAAATAACCCAATATTTATTATATTTTATATTATGAATAATTTATTATAGTTGTCCATGATATATAGTTGTACATCAATAATAAACTCTTTATAAATTTTCAAATTTTCAATGATAAAATCTTATATATTAATGTAAACCGGAAATATTCTCAAATTTTCAAAAGTTTGATTTTTATTTTTTGGGCATAAATTTTTTTAACCAATGGGACAATGTATCCACATAATAATAAAAAAGTAAAAACTATATGAGAGATGCATATAACAACACTGGTAAAGATTAAAATGATAGTATGACAATATTTTTATATAAATTAATTACATGTATAAAAATTATTAATATATTAATTGCTCATAAATATTGGAGTAAAAATTTCTCTTAGAATAAATTGAGAGAATTTTCTCTTAGACATATTCAAGAGAGAACTTTCTCTCAAAAATTTTTGAGAAAAATGCTCTCAAAAAGTTAGAAGAGAAAGTCTTTCTTCAAAAAAAAAATCATACAAAAAGCATATAATATTATTTTAATTATTTTTATCTTTTAAATTTTTTTTTTCAAGATTTTCTCACAAAATTTGCTGAGAGAAACATATCCTGTAAGAATGTGGGCAGATTCTCTCAAAGTTCTCTCAATTTTTCTCTTAAAATTTCTTACTAATAATTATTTTGAGAGAAAGTTCATATAAGAGATTTTTTGAAAGAATGTTCAAGAGAAATGCCCTTGAATTTTATTCAAGAGAAAATTTTATGAGAAAATAACTAAATTGTTGTAGTGCAAGTTAACTAAACTAAAATTGAGAGGGAAGATGTGTCAATCAATTTTATCTTGTGCATTTCTAACACCGTTTAGGCATAGAAAATATGGGGAGAGAAAATAAGCAAAAGAGAAAAATGAAAAGATATAATTTTCTTTTCTTACGTCTTAGTTGAGTAAGAGAAAATGTGAAAAGGTTAAAGTAGTTAATTTCATATTAATAACCTTATTATTTATAAACAATATTTTTTATAAGAAAAAGAAAATTTAATACTTTATCTTAATATTTATATAATTTTCATTATATATTAATAGTGAAATAAAAATATAATTGAAAATCATTTGATCTAATTTTAAATTTTACTTTTCTAATTATTAAATATAAAATGATGTTTCCTCCCCTTAAAAGTTATAAAATGCAGTGTGAGAAATTGATATGAAAAATCTACGTTTTAGGATTAGGAAAGATGATAAAATATGAAAAAGAGAGTGGATATATATGGGGGAGGATTTTCTCCTTTTCCTTCCCATCTTCTTCCCCTCCTGTTCTTAATTTCTAACCATTTGGATGATCTAAATTTGATCTCCTCTGAAATATTTTATTTTATTTTACTTTTACTATATTTTTTTCATTGTTCCTATTAAATTTTAGCAATTTAAATTTTATTATATATATTTTTATAATTTAATATTTTAATAATGATTTTATAGGAAATCATATCTGAATCATCTAAATCTTGATCTAATAGCTAGAAAGGGAAAAGAAGGAAGGAGGATGGGAACAAAAGAGGAGAGAATCCATTCCCAGGGATATGGAACCTTCAGACCAAGACAAAATTGATTTTACATAGGATTGGGAATTGTCGAATGCAATAATTTGGCTAAAATGGAGGGAGGCAAGGCCGACAATGGAAAAAAATTATGGACAAATTTAGAAGGAGATTTTTCTTTTCAAAATTTCACCATTTTTGGAGAGAGAATTTGAGTGGGTGCAGGAAAACATGTGGATTTCATATATCGTTTTTTTAAATAACAAAACAAAACAAATTTTAAAGTCGATTACTACAATAGAAAAGAGTATATCATTGTAAAAAAAATTAAAATTAATAAATAAGACCTACTATGGTAATTAGGAATTTTCTAAATAGATAAAATGAAAAAAAAAAAAGACATTCCATATTGTAATAGGAGTTTATATTCCAAACATTGAAATAAATCACAAATCATACTCCCTCCATTTAAAAATACAAGGCATTTTTAATTAAATTTTACCCTTTAATAAAGTAGTTATCTATTTTCAAACTAACCTTATTTTTTTATATTTACTTCTATTAAACACCTTATAATAAATATAAAATTATTATCAATAGGGATATTTTAAAAAAAAAAGGCAATAATTATACCTTAAACAATTAAAAATGCCTTATATTTTTTAACATTCAATTCTTTAAAAAATGTGTTATATTTCTAAATGACAGGAGTATTTAAATAGAGTGTCCCAAGGAAAAACAAGTTTATTAAGGGTAAAAGACTTTAGAGGGACCATTCTAAAATTATGAATTTGAACAAGGGCATATATGGAAAAGGGATGTGTTCACTATGGCTAACACAAGTTGTGCCATGACAAATGACGGAGAGGCAACAAGTCGCGACCAATGGCAATGTCCTTCATATTGGATTGGGCCTTGACTAACTATTGTTTCAAGCCCAACATACTAAATTTAGTCCAAACATGACTTATTATTAATAGCACTTTCACAAGTACTTAGATAATATTTTTGATATATTTATTTAACATGACTTTGTATTAATCAAAGACTTAAACTCGAAACTCTAAGATATATTAGTTCAATTCTCTTGACTTGTCCCTAAATCAAGACAAAGTAATTTCTTGGGGCACTCATATCAACTCATCAACAATAGTGCACCGAGTATTCAAAATGCAACATGTTATTAGGGCAATGCACTCATATAGGCAGCTGAATGTATAATTGAATAAATCCATATTTGAAAATAACGAAGAAGGTTCACTTGTTGAAATTTATTTCCTTTGACACTAGCCAAGTCTACTGTGTGGGCAAAGTTTGTGTAATGATCTTAACTTCTAAATTTAACAAAATTTTCTTTCAAGGAATATTTTATTTAAATAAAATTTCTGTTAGCAAAATTGATTTTATTTTTATTTTAAATCTTATAAGAATTTGGGTGCTCCTTGTAATTTTCCCTGACTCCTTGTAACTTTCTTTGTGCTTTTTCTTGCTATTTTCCCCAAAATTTATTTGATCGGATTTTGTCTTCGAGAGTAGGCAAAAACAGAGCATTCGCAAAACCTCTTCTTCACCGACCTTAGATTACTCCCTTCTTCTCACTGTCGAACCCTTCCTCCTCACCTCCAGCGTGTTCTTCTCCTCACCGTCGGTGTGCCTCTTGCTTCACTGCTTTGTTTCTGCTGTTCGTCCGTTTGCTGTCTGGTACTGAGATGAATTTTTGCTCTGATTTTTGCCGCTTCTGTGGCTGAAAGAGGTGTGTTTTGCATGTATGTTCAGCCTTTCTTTTCTTTCCCCTCAACAGTTGGAAGTCTATGCCTGTGGTAGTCTGAGTTGTGCGTTGCTGTTGAAATTCTTTGTCTTCTTCTTTCTCGCGCGTGCAACTGATCGGAGATGTTCTTGTCACGCCCTAAAAATTTAACGCGACCAACCTGTGATATATGTACAAACACACGTTCCTAAAGCTTCATGGAAAGTTCTGCATTGACACATCTGGCACACAATCAGCATGATTGCTTGTATCCAATATCTTTTTTTTTTTGTTTTTTTAAAATAAAAGAAAGCAAACTATTTATAGAAATTTTGAAAACATTTCCCCACAAAGTAGGATATCCTGAAATTTTTATAACAGAAATTTTACAATACACATCCAGCAATATAAAGTTTTACTCATCAGTAATATATAGACAACATGACAAAAACAAAAAATCAAGATCCTAAATCACATTTCCAAAATATAATATATAGATTTTAGAAATTACATCCAAAGGAAAATATTCTCAAACCGGCCTCCTAGTCAATCAACAATGAACCCCTCTGAGGTTCGTAAGAAGTACAACATCAGTTATATTATCTGAGGTTAAAATAAAGTATTTTTTAGTGAATAACATCCTAATAATAAAATTTTTGAATAATAAGAATGAATAAATTCAAGTAATTATAAATCAATTGCACAGAAAATATTCCAATATAGTATAATTATCAAGCTTGGGGTTTCAAAGATTTTAGAGAACTAAAAAGAAATAATAAACCATTAAATTTATGATCACAAAGTAACTTTATCATTTGATTTTGAAAAATCGGTAGATAAAATAATTAAACTGAATAAATATAGAAACATTTAGCAAATAAAATTAATGAATTGTAAATTTCGTAAGTTAATTAAAAGCTAATATTCTGAGGACTTTATAGAACAAAAACAAACGTGGACACACAGTTTATGAGGGTAAATAACTAAACACCACTTATGCAATGAAAACAAATATGAACACAGTCTACAAGAGTAAATAACCAAACACAGCCTAAGTTATGAAACAACATGGACACACAGTTCATGAGGGTAATACTAAGCAAACATGGCTCAAAGTCATGAACAAAAACGTAGATACGAGACCTATAAATAACAAACATGAGAACAAAGCCCACGAATTCGAACTAACTAGTCATAACCATAATGCGCCAAAAGTTAACGGAACTGCCGTTAGCAACAATATTCTGCTTAAAATCCTCTTAAAAACACTTTTCAAAACATGTGAAGAAATAATTATTTCTAAAATAAAATTTACATTCTCAATACCAAACTCGCATAAATCACCTCGACCATTAATTCAATACTTGTCAAAATAAAATTTTATAATAATTTTCTTTTTTACATTTATTTGGTAACCAAAATTTCCCAAACCTATTGAAAATAATTTCACCAATCTGAAAAAAGAATTCATAAAGAAAATACATGCACATGACAAAATTTAACTATTCTTCACCATCACTTTATCATTTCACAAGATAAAGAAATTTGAATACAAAATATCAATACTTAACACAATTGTTATTAAATAATTTATATAAAAATATAATATTTTAGAAAAAAAAATAATTTTATGAATAAACCGGTTGAGACGTTATCCACTTACCTGACAAGTTCTCAAAACCCAAGGATTTCTCCTTTTCAACACTTATCAATGCCCTCTTCTTTTATACACCCTATAAGAATATGTACACATGAAATTTCAATTAACTTCCTATAATTGTATAAACTTTTTTAATGGTTAAGATAAGTTCATGGATCATCAATGCCCAACCAGACACACTTCTCCCAAGAGTTAATGAAATCCTACAAAATACATATTCAAACAAAACCCCTCCTAACAAGCATTTAATCGAGCATCTCACGTGCATCAAAGTTTAAATAAATAGCAAGCCTCTTCTTCTTAATATCCTTTCCAAAAAATTTTTACTATCAATACTTAGATTAATAAAGCATTCTAAATTTCATTCTTTTAACTAAATCAAAATAAGCTCAAATAAAATTCAAATCCACACTATTTCATATAGCTTAAATAATATGAAAATTTCAACTTGTCAAAGACCCGCCTTGTCACACCTCGATATTAAGGGTATGATCTACATGAAATATGATGTGAATTCGTATTTTATAAACCTTGATTAACCAAAAATTAAGCTAAAATATCGATATATGTAAGTTATGTTTATAAAAATAAAATTCTTAGTCTTAAATATTTTGTGAAAATTTTGATAGAATCTCTTTTAAAATTTGCACCTCCCAAAATTTTCACAATAACAAAATCGGTCAACCAAAGTAGTAACAAGACTAGCTCCTTTTTAACATATTTACATGATACAAAACAAGACCAAGACTAGCTATGGTGCACGTGGAATACTAAACTATAATTACAAATAGAATATATAGTTTTACTAAAATAATAATTACAATAGGTTTCCTCTTTTTCAAAAAGGAAAAGAACCCCTCAATAATCTAGTAGACGTGGTGGGGTCAGCTACAACATTTGAGATCAGAAAAATTATCAATGAGTATCTTTTCAATTAAATATATGTATATAAATATATGAAGACATTAATGAATAAATTTAATTTAAAAAAATTTGAAATAATGAAACATGAGCTTAAACTAATAATAATAAACAAGAAGTTTTCTTAATGATACAATCATGAATTTGAACAAGTTAATAGAATAAAATAATTTATCAAAATTTATATTATTCATAGAATATAAAAATTTCAAGCAACAGTATGATTAGGTAGAATGCTTTCAAAAAATAATATAAAAATAATGAATTTCAAGTTTTGATCTAGGAGGGCCTTATCAGAACAAAGCAAGCATGGACACACAATTTATGAGGGTAACTAATTAAATTGCTTATGAAAAATAATACCATTTACCATATGTCCGTTTCAATTATTACTTAGCCAATATAATTTATTAGTAAAATTCATGATGTTGTTATTAATAAGACCATTAATATGAAAAATGGGATTAACAAGAATATGTAAATAATATATAAAGCGATGATAATAATATTTAAATAAAGATTTTTTTAAAAAATAATTTATTAAAAATATGTTCGGAACGCTACCCACTCACTTAAAAGTTTTCAAAATTTTAAAACTTGACCCCCTCAAGCTCTTATGTATTTCAATGATTCTCGAAATAATTTAATACGTAATCTAACAATCCTCTTGTCCTTATAAATTTTTCTTCTTATAATAAACAAGTAAAATGACATTCAAAATTTTTAATATTTCCTAAAATTTCTCATTATTCCTTAAATTTTTACTAAATCCTTTGACAATTTCTATTAAATAATCAATAACATTAGGTAACATTCAACTATCACTGTTGACACAACTCTTATCTAAATTTAACAAATCTTAATTATCATATTTAGTCTAATAATTTCTTTTGAGGCACTGCACTATTTTAATGAATATTTCTTCTTTACAACTTGCGTACAAAAAAAAAATTCTTCCCCAAGTAATATTTATAATTTTTCTAGGCTCTACTATAAAATTTAAACAATCCTATTCTCATCAACTTCTTTCAACTATTTTTACAAATACTTCAAGGCATTTCTCTTTAACAAAATTATAAGATGAGAATCTAAGCAATTTCAACAATTTTCAAACTTTCAATTTTACAAACCAATTTCAATTCAGCATCGTGGCAGAAAAACACTGAACATTAACCAAAACTAAACCTCAATTCTTTCTAAAATCTCTAGGCAGAGGCAACGAGAAATAGGCTAGTATTAATCAGCTAGAAGAAGGCAAAAGGATGCTTCTCCTGCTATGGAAATCGCAGATGAAGGATAAACAGAAAATCACCTCAACGAAACACCATGGCAACCAACATGAATCAGCAAGTGGCCAACATGGAAGAAGGAGAAGAGAAGGCCCTCAATCTGTAACAGCCACGAGAAGGAAGGAAACCAGAAATTTCAGCCAACAAACAAAAGAATCAGCTACCATACATACACACACCGGACCTCAATAGCTGAGAAGGAAGAAAAAGGTAACCGAACACGCTTACGCAAACCTCCGCCAGCCACGACATAGAGCAGAAACAGAGCAAGAGATTCAGCTTTACCTCTGGACAGAAATGGCCGAACAACAAAGGGAAAGGAGTAGTGAATTGCTGGCGGTGAGGGGATAAGCACACCAAGGTGAGATTGAAGCCTACGCGACAGGGAAGGGGAAGAGAAAGAGAGATAGACGCGAACGCACGCACTTCCTCTGTTCTGCTGCTTCTAACCGACGTGAAGAATGGAGATAATAAAATAATTAGCTTGTTGGAAAAATTACGAAACAAGACCCAAAGCCTGTTGAGGAAACTTTCAAAAGGAGACCCAAACAGGTTTTTTTTTTTTTATTATTATAATATTTTTATAATAAGAACGAGGGCACTTTAATAATTTCTCATATAATAAAATAAAATTAACTTTGGCTTAAATAAAATTTAAACTTTAGACCTCTATATAAATAATTAATAAAATTTTATTGGGTCACTACTCTTCATATATTATAATTAAATTAATTCAATCAAATCTCAATAAAGAAAAAAAAATTATTTAATTTACTTAATTCAATTTTAAATTTTTTTGAGTCATTACACACCTTCATTGTTATGAAAACTAGACCATACTGGCCAACTGAATCGGGAGCTAGTGCCTAACTGGATCTGAAACACATACAAAACTAGACCCAAATAAGAACTTGTATCAAAACTGATAAACCAAACCGCATTTTCAACTAGACTGGCTAAAAAATAAAATTTTAAAAAATAAATAAAAAAAGCATCAACTTAAAATTAAAATAAAATTGATAAATCAGACCACAATTTCAGCCAGACTAGCTAAAAAAAAATTAAAAAATAAACAAAAAAGCATCAACTTAAAATTAAAATAAAATTAGTAAATCAGACCACAATTTCAGCCAGATTGGCTTAAAAAAATTAAGAAAATAAACAAAAAAGCACCAACTTAAAATTAAAATAAAATTTACTAAAAAAATTAAAAAAAATTGACTAGGGCCCACAACTTTGCAAGGTGTCACCCAAATGAAGCAGCAATCATGCGCCAACATCCTTTCCATTATAAAAGCATCAGCGCCTTTTCTTCCGCAACATTTAGGCGATGTGGGCCTTATTTCCGTCAAAGACATATGTAGTCCCAATGTCCCATCCCACATGTCTACATGTCTATTTGCTCATTTAAAAAATTACCCCCCTCATCTTTGTTAATTTTTTGTGTGAGGTCCTGTACTTATTTTTTTATATATGAATACCTTTTTCATTTTTGTTATTCTAACTATTTATCTATATTTTTTATATAATATTATTTTAATTCAATTATAACTTGCCTCTCAAAATTACTCAATGACCAACTTAAAAAATAAGCATGCATCCTTTCGATCTCTTTTTAAATTGATTCTTTTAACTTATTTCTTCACATGTAAACATTTTTTTTTTTATCTATGTTCATCCACCTACTTATTTACATATATTTTTAAATAGATTTAGTTTTATTTTTTTAAAAAAATGTGATAATCATCTCCAAAAAATCAATAATGATTTTGAAGCCCCAGAAAATATAAGAAACTTAATTTAAACTTTTCTATAATATCTAAATATATTAATTTAATTATAATCGGTTCATTCACGGGGTTAGACGACGACATTAAACCGTAAACTAATACCTCAATTGGTTTAACGATGGATCTTATTTTAATAACATTGCACGCCTCCCCTATTTGATCATACCAGTAACAGGAAAAAAAAAAATATCACAATCTTCACCGTTTAATCAAACACAAACAGAACAAACAAGAAGTACAGAGAGGTTCAAACGCACTTGAAACAGGGGAAGTCCATGAATAAGGGACCTGACGGCAACACCCACGGCAGCGCACGGACAGAGGAAAAGGATGAGCTCTACCCAACACAAGTGACGTCGGTGAGGAAAGAAGGAAGGGTCTCCGACCTGCTACCCACAGTCAGAGAAGAAGGGCAGAAGAACGACAACAGAAAACCGCATCCCACACGGCAAAGAAAAATGAAGAACAAAATTGAAAGCCCCCTGAGCAGATCAGTGACGACACTAAACAGGGGAGGAGAGGTCCCGCCCACTCAAAAACGGCAGAGGAGAAGGAAGAAGTAGATGCACCCACAGTAGTAGCACGGACAGAGAAAAACGTGGAAGATTTCGGCGCATCCACAGCTGCTGGTGACAGACTCGATGGCGGAGAAATGAGGAAGGGAAGAGGTCGAGCGTCGAGCTCTCTCTCTCTCTCTCTCTCTCTCTCTCAGAGTCTTTGAAGAAGAATCGAGAAAGGGGAGGAGGATGAAGAAAGAGGGTCCCGATTCGTGTCATTCAGTTTTCCCCCACTCTCTTATGGTTCCCAACCGTGAAAGCAGAGATGAAAAAAATCTGACATGTATTATTTATTTAGTTTTATTTTTTAAGAGGCATTTTAGTAATTACCTAAGATTAATAAAATAAAATTCCTCCCTTGACACAATGAGGGTTTGAACGCTGAACTCGTTAGTAGACAAGTATAATTTTCATTAAGCCATCATTTCACCTTGTTACATCTACTCCTGAGTTTATAAAATACAATCAAAATGTTATTATTAATTTTAATAGTATTATTTATTATATATATATATATATATATATTGGATTATTACAGTTCTCTTTCCCTTCTTCAGTTCCCGTCACGTGCTGAATCAGGGGGGCTCCTGCGGTTTCATTGGAGGTGAGCTGCTATTCTTACTTCTTCTTCATGCGCAATAACAGCACTGAAAAATCTCTTCCTTCTCCAGTCGGTTGGTTGGTCCCTGTTCTTTGTTCTTCATGTGTTACTTGTAGCTAGGACTGAAGTGTTGCTCTTGGGTTGGAAGTTCGGTCCATGATTAAATCTTTTTTGCACTCTATATGTTTGGATGCAATGAACTGGAATTGCTTTGCTTTATTGCTGCTGGACGATTGAATAAAAGGGAATTATTGGGTGTTCTTTTTGTTAGTCTCGAGTAATATATAAGTAGTTTGATAATGTAGTTTGAATGTTAATGTACTTAATGTGTTTGTAAAAATGTTTAGAAAGTGAAGTGGAGTAACTAAGTATGTTCAATGTTTAAATACTAGTACTATGGATTTAGGACTCATTTTAAGAATTTTAATTTATTCTTGATAAAGAAATGTGTTTAGGAAGCATAGTGAATTTATTTATATGTTGGATTTTTGGCTAATAGATTTAAAATAGTGATTAGAACCTAAAATAGTAGATATTGAATATTTAATATTAGATTGTGGTGCTTCATTAACCTTAAGAAGGCATAAATGAATGGAAGGTTTTATCTTGCTCTTGTTGGATTATGGTTAACTTACTAATTTGATAAGGAAATTCTTGACTGTGTAATGTTAAATTGAAATATTATTGGGATCAAATTATATCCTACTAATGACTTGAGAGAAATCTTGGCTGGTGAAATTAAGTGCATAGGGAGAATTTGTTTGGGATAAAGAAAACTTTGTTATTTGTTAGAAATTAAGATGTTAAAATATCATCTTACTTATATTAAGAAAATAATAAATAATTAATTTTAGGATTTTGATTTACTTGTTAGGAAATTAATGGCACTATTGGAATTAAGGTGAGAAGTTGAAGTGAACGAGTTTTAAAATTTTTGAAAAATTTTCAAGCGAGTGGGTAGCATTTTGAATAGTTTTTTTAGTAAGTATTTATAAATCTCCTTATTTAAAATTTTATTATTAATCCTTATAAATTGTACAAATATTCTTATTTATCCTATTCTTTTACTAATTGTTTTATTACTGAAAATGTATTAATTTTACTAATAGTTTATATAGTTGACATGTAATGATAAAAAATAATGGTTGAATAGTGTTTTTGAAGTGGGAAAAATTTGAAATTGCTTTCTCTCTTCATACAAGCTTAATTTTATTTAGGGGAACTGAGTTTAGAACATTGAATGCTAATGACAATTCCGTTAGCCCTTGACATATCATGGTTTACCTAACTAGTAAGGTGCTTATAGGAAATGCTAGCCTGTGCAAAGGCCAACGTACTCATGCTCATTTTCGTGGGCTTCATGCCTGTACTTGATTCATAGCTCTTGCCATGTTTGTTTTGTGACTTTCAGCTACACTTGACTAGTTAGTTATCCTTATGAATTGTGTGTCCACACTTGATTAGTTATTTACCCTCATAGACTATATATCCACATTTATTATTTGTTTTGATAAAGCTGTCATGCCTCAAAAAAAAAAAAGAAGGGTGACCGGCACGGGCGCAAACTACATTACGCATTCCTTTAAGCTTTAAAATGAAAATTCATTTCATTTTGTTTTTTAAATAATCAAGTCATATGAAAATTCTAATACTTTTAATACTAATTGTCATAGCAAAGCTTCAATATTTTTGTAGAAGTTTCAACAAAACTCCTCAGTAAATAAGATCTCCTGAAATTTTTTAACATAAAATAATTTTCATAAAATATAATATCAGTCAGAAGCTTAGCTCCTTCTAGTCAACAAACAATATATATAAAAAATAAAGTCTTAGCAACAATCTATGTGGAGCAATTACTCTTTTCTCTAAATTAAAATACATAAGACTTAAATATTTACATCAAAAGGTAATAATACCAGTAAAAATTTTCACTCAATATAGTTGTATTTTCCTTTTGAGGGTGGCGGTAGGATCAACATTAGCTAATAAATCTGAGATCAAATAAATTTTTCAGTGAATAGCATCCTTAAAAAACAAATTTAAAAGAATTAAAATAATAAACTCAAATAATCATATAATTTTTTAATATATACAACAAATCATTCATTCATTCAAATAAACATATTTTGATATTTTGAAAATTTTTAATTTAAAAGCATTTTGGAATACTATAAGCAAAGATCTTTAATCATATACAATGATTCTTCTACTATATGCATTTGAATTTCAATTATATGCAAGAAAACTTTTATTTATTTGAATAACACTTTTGTATATTCAAATATCACTTATTAATTTTCATTATGGATATTTTTTGGAAGTATATGTAATTTTTTTTCATATGCGACCGATCTTTAATGAAATATAAATTTCTTCCACATATTTCAATAACACTTTTTCATATTTGAATATTACTCATTAAGTTCTCTTATGAATACTTTTGGAAGCATATGCAATCTTT